TGAGTCCAACAAACTTTGAAATTGCCGTTATACAATTTCATTAAGACTTTTTCTGCATAGGTTTTATAAATCCCTGGAAGTCCATTTACAATTGGCCAAAGCCTCGTAGTTGTTATTGGATTATACTGTGACACTTGATCCGGTTGAAACATTAAAAATTGTTGATAATCTAATTCAGCAACTCGTTCTAAAAGTGTAGCATGCAATTGTGGCAGTATTTCAAATAAAATGTGTTTGTTCCAATTATCACCCAAAGAATTTGATTTTGACTTTCCATTTAGGATGGAGTTATTTTCTGACTGCAACATATTTCTTCTATCGCTTGAAATATAAAATGTTCCGTTAATATGAACATTAAGAAAGGTGGTTATTGGAAGCGATAGGAATGAGTATAATGTCCCTGTAAGCATCGGAATCGGGGGATTTGGAAACTAAGATGAAAAATTATATTAATTTGATAATTGATGCAATAGTATTATACGATGGATTAAATATTACTGAAATATACCTTATCCTTCTTTAGCCGTGCTAATGATTTATTATCAGATCGTGCCAACAATGAAGCAATTCCACCTCTTGCCTAAAAATATATAATAAATATAATTTCAATTGTCATACTTTAATTTCTAGCAATCAAAAAAATATATATAAATTTGTGATCCTCACTCGGATATTATTATTTATAGAAAAAGTTTCCAAATCTCCTACACTATTTTTATCTTTTCCATCAGTACAAACTAACCATATTTCTGAACTTTTCCTATCCCTGTTATTCATTTCCATTTCAAGTTGAAATATTTGCTGCACACATGATGATGATGATAAGCGATTATTACGCAAGGTAGGATCCATGTTTTCAATTTTAGCTTCCCAAATCATTTGTCTGGATTTGCCTTTTAAGAACTGTAAGCTACAATATTCAATATTTCTCAAAAATAACATTTCTTGATTTCCTTTAATTTCCCCAAAAATTTGTAAAATATCTCTAGGATGAAATAATTCCTGTAAAATTTCGCTGTTTTGAGCAGTTTTTTCATTTCGCAAAGGTATCCGAAATAAAGTTCCATTAAACTTTTTCGTAAAATCAAACTCTTTGAACTCTTTAAAAATCGACGCATTTTCATTTGACAAGTTGCGAGCGAGCGATATATATGGTTCGGTCTGATTCTTGAATCTGTTTTTAAAATCGTTTTTAAGAAAATTTATACGTTTTCCACGTGCATGTCGAGGTGGGTTTCCAGTTTTTGGTAAAAATTTTTCTGACGGATCCAAAAATGCTATATATTCACCGCTAACAAAACTAACTAGATCTGTCAAATGAAAAGAGACATTTATTCCAATACCAAATCTTCCTATTTTTGTGTAGTCTTTTGACTTCCCACCTACACCAAGTTTTAGTAATGATTCAAAATCTTTATCAGTAAATACTGCGTCATTGAATATCCATAAAGCAGATCCCTGCCAATTATTCATTTCTTCTGTTAACAATGAGTGTTGATTAAGTTCAAGAGATTTTTTTGGAATTCCAAAGCCATTTTCATCAACAACTAAGCAAAGCTTTCGAGCTCCTGCATCATCTGCATTCTAATTATTTCCAAAATTACCCCGTCAGTATATAACCGAATCTGCAAAAAATAC